CTATGAACAAATCTGAACCCTGTCCTATCCTGTGCTATCCTCATCACCTCTGACACACTTGAGCCCATTTCTGCAGTCACTGTGTCAATCCATCTTTTGCTCACCCTCCTATCTTAGGTGAGGAATAGCCTCTCCTAATAACATTCTCAAAGTATGAGACAAAGCTTCACCATCTTTGTCTCTCAGGAGCACTCTGGCTACAGTTTTTCTGGATACTTCCTGTATTACTGAGGAATCTGAAGAATTATCCAGAAACATCATTCAGAACCTCTGTCTAGTCTTGTTCCTTCTCTAGGAGTCAGTTACCACTGATGGTCACTTTTTATTCCCAAGGCTCTGCCCCACTTACCTCCATTTACAGACTATCTTCCTTAAACTAGTTTTCTGGAAGGTTCATCCCAGTGGACTTTATTGGCCAATTTTTATTTCAATAAGAGGATGATCACTTGTTCAAACTTGCTCCCAACTACTTAAAGGTCCCTCTTTTTGTTAACCACAGGCAGTATGTGATTAAGTGTTGAAGGAGTGATGAAAATCATGCTGTGAGGTCAGAGAGGGAGTGGTCACTGAGGTAAAAATAGGGGCTCTAGAAAGAGACTGAAGCCAAGTCTGAGCTATTTCTTTTCCTCTGCAGCCTTTGGCAAATCATTCAAATTCTCTGTGCCTCAGTTTTATTCATAAAACGGAGCTCGTAGTGCTGACCTCTCATGCAGATATATTTTGTAAACTTCAAAGTATCTAGCAATGTTAGCTATTATTACTATGGACTAGAGTGTTCAAGGAAGTGCTCACAGATCTGATATGGGTTGGAGCAGGTGGCACCTAATAAGTGTTCTGGGAAGAAACATAGTAAGATGAACCTTAACAATCGAGGAAGACTTGGGAAATGTAGTTAGAAGTGGGTAGGCACTCCAGGCATGAAAATAGCATGACCAAAGACACAAAAGACAGGAAGTACCAAATTATACCATGTAAGGAAGAAGTTGAGGACAGACAGGTGAGTTATAGTCTGTTCAACAGGGAGAAAATGAACTTAAATAAGTAAAAGGGTAAAAATCATATTTTAGGAAGTTTAACCTTAAAGAGGTATGAAGATGGAGGGATTGGAAGAGGGTTAAAATACACATCGGGTGATTATTTAAGATGGGTGTTGACTATTCCAGATAAAAACTATATCCAGATGAGGGTCTGAATGAAGGCAGACGTACTAGGGCTTAGAAAGAAGAAAATGTGAGAGACATAGAAACAAAAGAACACAGTGACAGTATATAAGAGGAACAGAAGACTTGGGGACCATTTTCAGGCTTTTCTAGCATCATATGTAGGTAGACAATGGTGGCATAGTCAGTACAAGGGAAGGAACTAGTGAGTAGGGAAGACTGTTCTTTGGATGTTTCATTTGTCTGCAGAATGTTCAAGAACACTAACACACTATGGAACTTAAAGACAAGTGAAGTGCACTGAAGATTTCAGCCACAACTGTACTAATGAAAAGTAGACAGAAGCCAGAGGATCATCAACAATATTGGGCAAAATAGAAGAATCAGGAAAGAAGTTTGAGAAGTAACCAGAGAGGGAGAAGGAAGGCAAGAGCTTTTTAAGAAAAATTAGTGAAAGAGGTGAAGTGCAATAGAAAGGATCAATGGTGAAAGATATCATTAAAAAAAAAAAAAGCCAAAAAGAAAAACCAAAAGAAAGGATCAATGGTATAAAAAATGGCAAGAGTCTAATTAGCTTTGGTTCATTGGTACAATTGGTTCACTGAAGATCTGGATACAATCTTTTACTGTAATGGTAAGACTGAGAACTAGATCACAGTGGATTAAACAATAAACAAGACACAGGAAAATACAACTGAAGGACTGCTATCTTAGGGACCTTGGTTGTAAAAAATAAAAATAGTAAGACAGGAGATAGAGACAAGAAAAATTTAAGATGGGGACCTAGAACACATTTTAGTGGCCTAGTGGTAAGAAAGGCACATGGTTCAAATGGACTTGGTGTCCTGCGGGAGGATAGAAAATGTCCTCTCACGCTATTTACTGTCTCTGAAAACATGCTGGAGTCAGCAATGGGTCAGTTTCAACATGATGGTACACAACAATAACAGTAAAGGGAGTAAGGCAGAGAGAAAATGAAGGAGTGAAATCTTGAACATTGAAGTCAACCTAATAAGAAAAGGTATTTTTGACTATAAATGAAGACCTGGAGGTGAATGTGTAGGTATAGTCTGCAATCATCTCTTGAATAATAATAGCATGTTAGGAACTTGGGATTCGTGGATAAGGAAAAGAATTCATGAGACCTTAAGGAATTTTGTCCAGCAGGAAATATATAAGCACTCTCGTGTTACAAAGAGAATTGCCCTGCTAACTCAAAAGCTATACCTCTCTGGAAGGTGAAGGATGAGGAATCTCCTTCCTTGAGCTTTACACCCCTGGAAACCCCAAATGGAGGGTCAACTGAGTTGGTTCCAATCAGTAGGCAATGAAAAAGATATTCTGGTTTGTTTAATAGCAGATAGGAGAAACCAGCAATTTTGACTAAATGAGTTAGAGAAGTCTTCACAGAAGTGGAATACCTGTACTAGATTCAGGTGAGGTAGCGACCTAATACAGAAATGGGAGGAGTCACGGGTGTGCTAAGTATGTTTCAATAGAAAACATCAAGACTGTTGTTGTTGTTCTTATGTGCTGTCGAGTCACCTGCAACTCATAGAGACCTTATGTACAACAGCCCTAAAGCTTGTTCTATCCTGTGCCAATCTCTGACACACCTACCCCCATTACTCCAGTTACTGAATCAATCCATCTTATCGAAGGTCTTCCTCTCCTGTGCTGTCCCTCCACCCTCCCAAGCATGATGTCCCTCTCCAAGTTCTGGTCCCACTTTGCATGCAACATGTGCCAAGTATGTCAGATGAAGCTTCAGAATCCTTGCCTCCAAGGAGCAGCCTGGTCTCACCCTGTCCAGGACAACCTTATTTGTTTTCCTAGCAGTCCATGATATATTCAAAACTCTTCTCCAGAACCAGAGCTCAAAGGCATCAATTCTCCTTCTATCATCCCAATTCATTGTCCAAATCTTTGATGCATAGCAAGTAATTGCAAAGACCATGGGCCTGGATCAGGTGCACCTTAGTCTCCAGACTGACATTGTTGTTCTTCAGTACTTTGGAGAGGTCTCTGCCAGCAGACTTTCCAAATGCAATGGAAAGCGTATAGTCATTATACCAAAAAGCAATTGGCAGACACAGAAGAATTTGGTGAAACAACGTACGAGTGATGAAGGAAGACGTTTAAGCTGGTCTGGAAGAATTGGCAAAAACCAAGGCTCCAGGAAATGATGGCATATCGATTGACATATTTCAACAAATGATGCCTTGGTTGTGCTCACCAAGTTGTGCCAAGAAATCTGGAGGACAACCACCTGGCCAACTGACTGGAAGATATAACAAATATAGATGTGTTCTCATTCCAAAGAAAGGTGACCTGACAGAGTTGGGAAATTATTGAACAATATCATATGCAAGCAAGTTTCTGCTGAAGATTATCCAAAAACGACTGGAACAGCACATCGACAGAGAACTGCCTGACATGCAGGCTGGGTTTAAAAGAGGCCATGATACTAGGGATATAACAGCTACTATCAGATGGATCTTGGCTGAACGCAGAGAGTACCAGAGGAATGCCTGTGTTTCTTTAACTATGCAGATGCATTTGACTGTGTTGATCACAACATTAAGACTAGAGAAAGTATTTAAATGAAATGCCCAAAGTAGCCAGGCATATAGTGTTCAGACCAAGACAGAATAATTGATGCCTTTGAGTTGTGGTGCTTGAGAAGACTATGGAATATACCATGGGTTGCCAGAGAAAATACAAGTTTATCGTAGAGAGGCTTAAACCAGCCTGTTCCTTGGATGCAAGGACTTTGAAGCTTTGCTTCTCATGTTTTGGGAATGTGGCCAGTAGGGACCAGTCCCTGGAAATGGACATGTACTTGGAAGTGTGGAGGGACATTGTGGGATAGGAAGACTCAGATGAGATGGACTGACACAATAACGGGGTAATGGGGGGGCAGGGGGTAGGTGTGTAGGAGACCATGAGGATGGCTCAGCACAGGGCAGGCTTCAGAGCTATTGTACACTCTAAGTGTGTGACTCTATGGCAAATAATAACCCGACTGCTCTCTCCCCTATAGGAGTTGGAACTTACTCATAGCTGACCCTCCCCAGTGGGTTTTCAGAGGCGGTAAATCAGACCAGAGGGGACCGCCCATCTTTCTCCTGCAGAATGGCTGGTGGATTTGAACCTGTGTTGGCTGTTTAGCTCCTTACCATTAACCACCAGAGCTCCCTAATAGCATTCAGTTATTTAAAAATAAAATGTATTCCCAACGAGAGTCTCTTTACAAAAATTTTAATCCCGAATAAATAATGAAATGTTATCACAGGAAAATTGTTAAACAATAAATAAGCAATCTTAACGCTTAACAGCTGAGGAGGTCGATCTGTTTTCCATATAATTTTCCAGTACTTTAAATGGTGGGGTAGGGAGCTCTAGGGATGTAGTTTATAGCGAGTTGTGCGGCAAACCCAAAGGTCTCGCGTCGGCCTCAGTTCAAATCCACCAGCGCCTATCCTGGGGAAAAAAAGGGGGATTATCTTCACGTTGTATAGCTATAATACCAAGAGATGGTCGAGGCAGTTTAGAGTGTTTTTAAGTCGGGTAGATTTGCATTGTGGGGCGGGGTCACATGATGTAAGGCTTACCTCCATCCTGAACAGTAAAGCTACATTCAATGGAGGTTAGATTCTTGAGCAGCGTGGGTAACGAGCCCACAGAGCTGCTGAGCAGTACTAGCTGAGTGGAAGTAGGAGAAGGGGCGTGGGGAGTTTCTTAGGGCACGACATCAAAGCTGAAAACTGAAAAATGGATGTGACTTCTAAAGAAGCAGAATGAAGGGCAGCGTCTTCTCCAACGCGGTGCTTTTCGTACCACCGACTTCTGAAACTCAGAGACGTCCAGAGTGATGGGACAAGTTTTTAAAGGAAAACTGGGCGCCCACTGAGGACTGTGAACAGGCATGTTCCCGAGGGTGGTAAGGGCAGTATGTAAAACGGCTTCAATCGGGCTCCAAGGGAGCGGAGGCAGAACACCGGTGGGTACCTCACTGCGGCGGGTGGACAAACACGCAACCGCTACTATTGGGGCCGAGAAAGCCCTGAACACCGAGCTCTAAATCCTCAGCGCCTGAGACCACACAGAGAAACAACAGGATGTCAAAAACGTCGCGAGAATTAAGCAGCTAAGTCGCTCAAGAGGAGGAAGTAGGCGTGGCAACAAAGAAGCAGCGGCCGGAAGTGATGTATGGGCCCCGCCCCCGCACTTGATATCTCGCGAGACTTCACCGAACACCGGTCTCTTTTTCGTGTAAGCGAACGAAATGGTAAGTTGTTTTTCTGCTGCTCTTTATTTGCAGCTGGACTTTTACTTCCATCCCCCAATCTTGGCTCCATTTTCTATGTCCGCATTTGGCGGCAACAGGACGTGGGTGGTCGGTCTGGATCCCGCGTGGGAATCCTGCAGCCATGTTCGATCTGGGATTCAGTCTCCCGGCCATGCGGCTCCGAGCGCCGGGGCGCTGCCCGGATAAGACTGCTCGGCCCTCTGGCCTTTCCGTAGTCTCGCATCAAGGGGAACTAAGCCTCTTCTCCCACTACCCTTCTCGTTAAGAAGCTTCAGAGACCACTAAGCTTCCATTTCCCCACAGCCGTCAAGACTGAGGAAGACCCGCAAACTTCGGGGCCACGTGAGCCACGGCCACGGCCGCATCGGTAAGTGCTGCTGGGTCGGCCTGGAATCATCCTAGCCGGATCGATCCCACCTAGGTAGGAAATTGGTCATCATTAGCTGTTGATCTCTTCCTTTGACGATCCTATAGTACTCGGATGTTAGAGAATATCGTGCCGGTGAAGGATAAATGAAATGGGTGTATAGTTGAATTGAACGCACGGAGAATGCTGTTATGTGGACAGCTGCAGCATTGTTAAATCTGGCGTCCTGAAGGGATCAAAACTCGAGGTTAAAAAAATAAAACCCAAAATAGCACTGGTAGCTTAGTAGATAGGTAGCTGGTGATTTTTTTTAAAAAAAGATAGTTTATAGAGTACACCGCATAAATAAAAGCCCAGATGTGTAGGGAAATACTTGTCATTTACGAGAGATAGTAATGAGTTGTGGAAGACTTGGCCATGTAGCATTGTTTCTCTCCAGGGAAGCACCGGAAGCACCCTGGAGGCCGAGGTAATGCTGGTGGTTTGCATCACCACAGGATCAACTTTGACAAATAGTGAGTATTTTACTGATACTGGGCCTTGAGGGAAGGCGCAGGGTGGACTGGCTCAGAACGTTCTCACTACTAGGCACCCAGCTTAATCGAATCCTTTCTCTTGGTGACTTAACATTTGATGGGAATCAGGAGATCTTGTCATCGAGGCTAGAGTCACGCTTGGGTATTGGTTGTTGCCTTGGTGTGCTAGAGCTTTCGAAGAGTAATTGCTGACCTTATTCACTGGCTGTGGGTCTTGTGGCACAGTCAGTCACCAGGTTAGCGACACGCATCAGACTGACCTTTAAGATTGTTAGGCGAGTTTATTCTCCCAAGAGTATGTTTTACATAGAAGACCGATACATAGTCTTTTAAGTCACTAGTTTTTGGTGCTGGCCTCTCACTTAACTCTGATTCTTTGTAATTGAGTATTCCTTTCCTCAATTCATTATCAACTGGTTAATTAGAGTGAGGTTCTAAAAATGGTTGTCTTCTCCCAGCCATCCAGGTTATTTTGGGAAGGTTGGTATGAGACATTACCACCTGAAGCGGAATCAGAGCTTCTGCCCAACTGTTAACCTTGACAAATTATGGACTTTGGTCAGTGAGCAGACAAGGATAAATGCTGCAAAAAACAAGACTGGAGCTGCTCCGATCATTGATGTGGTTAGATCGGTGAGTGAATTGAAGGATTGTTGCTTTTATAGATTGATTTGCTTTCTTGAAATCATAAATGTACCAAACCAGTAACCTACTAGATAGATAATTTAATCTTTGATAGTGTAACTGGGTTTTTGACCATGACAAAACTTAACACCATTATGGTCCCATTTTTTTCTCATCAGAAAAGAGGAATAGATAACAACTGTGATTCAAACAAAATGTTTGAGAGTAAACATTCCCTCTTTTCATTTGTTTTTTTCACTTCTTGAGTATACACAAACATTGTGTTTACATGAGGCTCAGTTCTTTTGGTGTCAGGGATTCTTTATATCATCTATATGATAAAATTCTAATTTGCTTAATTGCCATTCAGAATTAGAGAGTCTTACATAATTAGCTCCAGGATTTCTTGGGCTAGAGCCCTGTGAAAACTCCTAGTTGAACTTTAAATCCATCTTTCCAGCTTATTGTATTTCCTTGAGCACTTTTGGTCGGGTGTGTCCAGGATGTGGATGTGGTTTTCCCCTTTTGCCAAACATAGGGAAAAGGGATTTGTATTTTGCTCGAGACTAGAGTCACATCCTGATGCTGCTCTTGTCTTGGTGTGCTAGAGTCCTCGGAGAGGATCTATCTGCTGGTCTGGATTCATGGGTGAGGGCAGTCAGTGCCTTTGTTAGTGCCCTGATCAGAAACATGCCATACCTGGCTTCTAGAAGGTCTAAGTTGGTAGCTGTCTTTTCTCATGCCTGTTTGTGAGTTGGTACTTGACTGGGTTATTGTAAACTTTCTGTTTTGTTTTGTTTTTCTAGGGTTACTACAAAGTCTTGGGGAAGGGAAAGCTCCCGAAGCAACCAGTCATTGTAAAGGCCAAATTCTTCAGCAGAAGAGCTGAGGAGAAGATTAAGGGGGTTGGGGGGGCCTGTGTCCTGGTGGCTTGAGGCTGTGTTAATTACATGGAGGTTGGGATCTGATCTTTTGTGGCATCTATACCTACACCTCTCCTCGTGCAGCTAATGCTGAGCAGCATCAGGATCTCTTAAGTATGGGGACCTGTTTCCCTGCTGATGGAGATGCATTAGCACTTCAGAGGTTTGAGTCATGATCTAATAAAAAACACTTAGATTTATAAAGTGGACATTGTATCTGTTACAATCACTCTGTTTTGTATTCTGAGTATACTGTCAGTGGAACAGTATGCTCTAGATGCTCTGTGGGGCTAAAAAAGGACTCCTGTTTTGATGGAGCACGTGATAGAATCGACTCAGCTGATACAACTGAGTCAAAACCTGAATCCAAATATATTACATGAACATGTGTGCTCACATGTTCCTCCCCGCAGGAAGATTTGGTAGACCTGCACTGACAGGCTCATCTTTAGGTTAGCAGTTTTGAACACCAGTGGATTTAGGCATCAAAGTGGGGGTGGAGTATGATCCCAGAACACAATTTTAAGGATTCATTAAAGAGCTTAAGTAGATAATCAGTGTAAATTGCATGTTCTTAACATCTCAGTTCTTTGTTACATTTTTAGGCTTTCTTAAATCCCAAAGAGTTATAACAATGCTTAAATAGTAATCAAATGTCTTGTAGGATCTCTTGGTAGCATGATGTGCCTTAATAGTCTTCTGATGCTGCTGACTTGAAAGGCAGTTGGAATATATTTGCAGAATCAGAACAAAATTCTTCAGGCCTTTCAGTACAGAGGTTAGCCCCTTAGCTGTTAGATAATGGGTGGCTTGATTCACACCAGCTTAACTCATTGAAAGAAAAATTAGGTAGTCTACTGTAAAAGATCCTGTATTAAAAGTTCTCTAGCAATGGGCCTTTAAGAGATCTAATTCAGCATCAATAAAGTGATGATTACAGTAGGCTTGAACAAGGTGGATTGTAACCATTAACACAGAATAAGGTAAGATTTTGAGTTGAAGTTGACTCTTGTAACACTGAGGATACCGGAAGTTTTACAACCGCCCAGGCTTAATTTCAGTGCCAAACAGTGAGCTGCTCTTTTAAGGTTTGGTACTTAAGATTTCATCATATCTGGTAAAATTAGGGAGCTCAGAAGCTGGGCTGCCGTTCCTGAGACACTGAATCCACCACCAGCTATGCCAGAGGAGCAGTCCCCTGCTAGAATGAAAAGTTGGGTTCTGACTCAGTGGTATGTCTGTGCCTCTTTGCAAATTGTTAAAACCATCAGAAGCAGAAAAGTCCCCCTGAGGGATAGATGTTGCAGAGTCATAAGAGGAAAGTGGGTGAGTAGTTCAAGACCGAGACATCTGGATAGATGAATGTTAAAAACTCCAAAGGTATGCAGTTCAATACACCAGCTGCTCTGGGAGGATGGGCAATCTTCATGTGCCTCTGAAAACCTGGAGGGGGTCAGTACCCAACAGGATATATGAAAATTGGTTTATAAACTTTAAAAGACTTGTAAAAAGCCACACCCTCCATTGTTAAAAACCACTAAACTGGACTTAAAGTCTTGGGGTGGTTTTTTTTTTTTTTTAAAATTATGGAACTGTTAATGAATTTGCGCAGGGGCCATATTAATCTTTGCATCGTTTCAATTTGAGTGTGTCTGCCGAAGCGATCACTGGACTTTGAAGTTTTAAAATACTGTACTGTAAAGTAGGAGCCAACACGTAGCTGACCCATAGGCTGTAAAAATCCAGAGACTACTACCATTATCATTTCCTCTTGTGGAGGTGCAGCGCCTAGCAGTGTAACTCCCTATGTGCTGCCTTAGAACCCTAATGCCTAGACCTGGAAAGAAAAGCTGAAGGCGCATACTGCCGCCATAGAAGAGAGAGCGGGATGTTTTTCAGAAGGGGCGCCTACAGCAAAAGCCTAGCAGAGAGCTTAGGTCCTGGGGTTAATGCAAAACTAGCCTCAGGGAACTGCTCCGTGACTTTGCTCTCCAGCCTTCAACTTAAGGTCCCCACTGCTTTTACTCCCGACTCTTCCCGCCCCGGCCACGCAGTGAGGTACTTCCGGAGAGTGAGGTTTTGGTTCCGGAGCACGGCCAGAAGCCACTTCCGGTAGGGTCAGGGCTCGCCCACGTAGCTCAAAGGCTGCTCTAACCTGGCAGAGCTGTTTGGAATTTGGGGTTTTTTTTTACCCCCGTAAGGTTGTCAAGGATGAGAAAGGAGGAAATAGCAGAAAGTAGTAAAAAGATAAATATTAAAATGGGTGAGAAGCAGTATATTAAGGTGATCTACTTTTTCTAAGTTTTTTACATTTTTATGTTGGTTTGCTTACAGAGTTCATTGTTTTCACTCTATCATTAACGTTGTGTTCCACACAGTCATTCCCATTCATTGTATTATATGAAATTATTCACCATTGAGCTATGCCCACTGGCTATGCCTGTGTTCTGGCTTTCTAAATCTCCTTGGGTCTTTCCTATTTCCATTTACCTCCCCTCCATCCACCAAATTGTGTGACCCTATGATTGCCCTTCTGCCCATTCTCAAACCTCTGCTCCCGCTCTCCCCACCTTCCTTTGGATTCTCCTGTATGTTTTACTAGTTCTGTTTCTACAATAATGGTCTTAAGCAGTATTTGTCCTTAAGAGACTGAGTTCACAGCAATGAAAAAAAAAATAATAATAGCAATAATACACGTTTGTAAAATAAATAACGCTTAATTTTGGCAAATTAAAAAGACTGAGTTCATTCAGCATAATGCTCTCCAGTCCCTCCCAAGTTATGTAGTAATTATCGAAATCTTTGCTCCTGGGTGCATGTGAATGTACCACAATTTCTCAATCCATTCGATTCTGTCTGGATATATGAGCTGTTTCCATGTTCTTGCGATGGTGAATAATACTGTTACCAACACTGATGTACAAATCTTTTTGTTTCGGTTCTAATATTCTTAGGGTATATTCCTAGGAGTGGAATAGCTTGGTCATAAGGAATTTCTTTGTTCATCTTTAGGTTGTTAGGGGTTTATGTTCAGCTTTTTGAGGAAACGCCAAACTACCTTGCAAAGTGGTTGTACCATTTTACAGTCCCACCAACAGTGTATTTTTCCACATCCTCTCTAACATTTCTTTCTTGGTGATCTGTTAAGCTTTGCCTCTGCTACTGGGGTGAGATGTAAATTTGCTTTGTATCTCTCTTGCCAGTGATTTTGAGCATTTCTTCATGTGTCTGTTGACCATCTAAATAACTTCTTCTGAAAATTCTTTCCATGTCTTTTGCTCATTTTGTAATTGTGTCTGCATCCCCTCCAACATTTATTGCTTGCTGTACTGTTAAAACTTTGCCACTGCTACTGGGTTGAGATGGTAGTTTTAACCTTTTTGCATTGCTGTGACAGTTCAGCTACAGATCAGAAGAAAATTCACAGCTAATGTTACTGCACTTAAAATCTATTTCTACTGATTGTTATATGTACTTTCTAGATAGGAATTTCCAATCATCTGACTTTTCTTTGAAGAGTTTAAAACATAACAGATGCTACTTTTTTCAGGGGACCTTGGACCAAAAAACATGCTTTATGTACATGTATAAAAAATGTTCTTACTACACAGAAAAGGGATCTGAAGAGTTTGGAAAGCTAAAGAGATGGTGCATATGTGTCCATACATTTTGAACTTCTTGTTTACACAAGTGCACATTGTCAAAAAGAATATAAATACCAGTACTGAAGAATATAACTGCCAGTACTGAAAAGTAAATTTTTCTCTTATTTTGGAGTTTTCATGACATTTTACCCTACCTTTTCCTTCACAAATATAGTCAAAGTCTTTTTGGATTGCATGCTACCAGTGTTTGGCTCTAGAAACTCTGTTTTGATTATCTTTTTTCCTAGAAATTTTTGTATGTCATTCCTAATTCTATATTGCATCTATGAGGAGAAATGTGGGGTCAAGATTGGTGGACGAATTATCAACAATCTGCGTTATGCGGATGACACAACCCTGCTTGCTGAAACTGAAGAAGACCTGAAGCGCCTGCTGCAGAGCGTCAAGGACTGCAGCCTACAATATGGATTGAGGCTCAATGTCAGGAAGACAAAGATTCTCACCACTGGACCAATTGGCAGCATCAGGATGGATGGTGAAGAGATTGAGATTGTACACAGCTTTAGCTTGCTTGGCTCCACAGTCAACAGTCTTGACACCAGCAGCCAGGAAATTAAAAGGCGCATTGCCATGGGAAAGTCTGCTGTTAGGGACCTCTCCAAAGTACTGAAGAGCAATGGTGTCTCTCTGGAGACTAAGGTGCGTCTGATACAGGCCATGGTCTTCCAATCACTTGTTATGCATCAGAGAGTTGGACAATGACCAAGGAAGATAGAAGGAGAATTGATGCCTTTGAGCTGTGGTGCTGGAGGAATATTGAGAATACCATGGACTGCTAGGAAAACAAACAGATTTGTCCTGGAAAGGGTTAAACCGGGTGGCTCCTTGGAGGCAAGGATTCTGAGGCTCCATCTAACATACTTTGGACATGTTGTGAGGAGAGACCGGTCCTTGGAGAAGGACATCATGCTTGGGAGGGTGGAGGGACAGTGCAGGAGAGGAAGGCCCTCTATGAGGTGGATTGATTCAGTGACTGGGATAATTGGGATGGGAGTGTCAGAGACAGTGCGATTGGCACAAGACAGCGGAGTTTAGGGCTGTTGTACATAGGGTCGCTATGAGTCGCAAGTGACTCGACGGCACATAACAACAACATCACAACTTTGGTTTTACTTCATGTTTGCATTGTATGAATTACTCTGTTTATTTTATATTTGTAAGTACTTTGGGTACAAAGCAGGTTATGTGACTTTGTCTACATGACTTTGCAAAGATATGCATAAAAGTATTTTTTTTTAAAGTATTGTTTGATGGGAGCTTTGTTGGCCTAGTGACAAGAAGTTGCACTGCAATCCCAAAGGTGTGTGGTTTGAATCCACCAAATGCTCTGCTGGAGAAGGAGGGGCA